CCAAGGCGTGCCCAGGATGGATGCAGAGGGATCCTGGCTGCCTGGAGGAGTCTGTGCAGGCAGCTGGGGCAGTGGTGATGGTGGCTGTGCCCCGGGTGGCTCAGGGCTGGTTCCTGGCCTGCCCTGTGCCCTCCCTGAGCCGTGCCCGTTTGTGCCCAGGTTGATCCCAGCTCACCCTGCCCTGGTGAATGCCATCGTGCTGGTGCTGCACTCAGTGGCTGGCAGCACCCCCCTGCCAGCCCCAGACACATCCTCACGGGCCATGGCCTTGGGCTCCTACCGGGACATGCCAGGTATGCCCACCTGGAGGGGAGCTCAGTGCTGAGCCCTGGCTGCTCGGCCAAAACCTCCACAGCATTCTCACCTGCTTCCCAATCCCTGCTGCTTTGCCACATCCTTTTGTCCCCCTTTCTGCTGCAGGTGGCTTTCTCTTTGAGGGGCTCTCTGATGATGAAGATGACTTCCACCAGGTAAGCAGCCACCTCTTTTTAGGGTTTAATTTGTAGCCCTGAGACTCCCAAGCTCTTTCCTTCCCTGCCTGGTGAACAGCACGAGCTGCTGTGGCTCCCCAGGGGGATGTGGAGACAAAAACATATTGATCCTGGCTGCTTGCACGCTGTTCAGGAGAGGGTTTTCCTCAGTGCTCAACACACAACAGGAAAATGGAGCAGAGGAAACGCTCCAAAGTGGAGCATGGGAATGTTTATCCTGCCTTTCTGCACCCTTCCTCTCCATAGGACAAAGGGGAATGAAAAGAAAAACTGGATATTTGGTTCCAACGTGCTTGTCAACAGGCAATTATTTTGTTCCAGGCTGATATCACCCTGGTTTGGGGCTGGTGGACGAGAGGTTGAAAGCTTTGCTGCCAGTTTCCACAGCTGACTTGGTGGAAAAAGAGCACATCCCGCTCTGGCATGTTTGTCTCTCAGAATTTCCACCCTTGGGAGCTTTGGGGATGGTAGGGCAGGGATCTGTGGTTTGTCTGGGCCACAGACACCGAGGTCACAGCTGGCTTTTTCCTCTTCCCTCCATGCAGAGCACGAGGTCCACCCCTTCCAGCAGCACATCGGGCTCACGCCCGGCCTCGCTGGGCTACGCGGGGGCGGCGGGGCCCCGGCCCATCACCCAGAGCGAGCTGGCCACGGCCCTGGCCCTGGCCAGCACACCTGAGAGCAGCTCCCACACACCCACCCCGGGCACACAGGTAACAGGCAGCAGCAGGACAGGTCGGGGCTGGCGCTGCTGGGTCTGTATTCCATCGGGGAGGAGTTCCCCGGGTGATCCCAATTCCCTCGGGGAGGAGTTCCCTGTGAGATCCCACACCTGGCTCTGCGTTCCCCCATGCAAATCCACGTGATCCGTATCTCCCCCATGCTCCCAGCACCCAGGGGACAGCCAGCCCAGCCTGGCTCAGCTCTGGGGACCCTTCCCTTCGGGATTGAGGTGTTGTTGTGCTTCCTGTGATCCTGATCCCTTCCCTCCTCCTAGGGCCACTCCTCCGGGACGTCCCCGATGTCCTCCAGTGTCCAGTCAGGGACACCCATCACCAATGACCTGTTCAGCCAGGCTCTCCAGCACGCCCTGCAGGCCTCAGGGCAGCCCAGCCTCCAGGTCAGTGCCCCCCTGGAATCCTGCATCCCACTGGGATCTCCCAGCTGCCTCCTGGGGTGGGACATTCATCTGCAAGGGCCATCACTGATGTCTTTTTTTTTTTTTCCCTAAAAACTGAGGCCAGACAAAATCAAGGCAATAAAAATATTTTTTTTTTAATATATTTATTGAAGGGCCTTTAGGTATGTTTTGGGCAGATGAAGGTCCCCCAGGGATCCACCCAAAAAGGGACAATGTGTCATAGGTTTTCACACTTTTATATGTTTGGTCTACTTGTAGATTGGGGGTTAATATCCCAATTACAGCTTGAAGTTGTTTACCTCAAGTTTGCTCCCTCCCAACTCACTTTTGTTTACATTTCTCAATGCCTGAGGCAGAGAGGTGTCCTTGATTCCCAGGCCTAGAGAGGAATTGTTGTGTCTGACCAAAATGGGAAAACAGCAGCTCATGCTCTGTTTGGAGTTCAGTTACACACTAAAGAATTGCAGGATTACAAATACAGGAAAAACATAATGCCTCAGGATTTTAGCTTTTATCACAGACACTCCAAAGGGCTGGGGTGGAAGTGGGATGGAGGAGGGGTAGGTCTGGGGTTTTTGCAGCATGTCTGAGCTGTTTGCACGGGAGCTGGGATTTCTCACAGCAGCCTGACCTTCTCCTCTTTGCTGTGAGCAGAGCCAGTGGCAGCCCCAGCTGCAGCAGCTGCGAGATATGGGAATCCACGACGACGAGCTGAGCCTGAGGGCCCTGCAGGCCACGGGGGGGGACATCCAGGCTGCCCTGGAGCTCATCTTCGCCGGGGGGGCCCCCTAAATCTTCCTGCTGGGCTGGTGAGTTGTGCTGAGGCAGCAGCTGGGCTGGTTCTTGGCTTGTTCTCCTTTGGGGGAGCACTGAGGGCAGCTCCAGATCCTCTCTCCAACCTCCTCAGGACACGGAGAAGGGAAGAGGTGCTGGAGATGTGACCCTTCCAGATGTGCAGTGTTTTATCTGTCCCCACGCTCTGCCTGTCGTTTCAATCCCGGATTAAACGGACCCTGGGCAGTTCCCTGCCTGCTGTGTGGGTTGTGCTCTGTCCCGGCTTGTGCTGCAGATGCCACCAGGATCTGCAGTGGAACTGCAGGAAAAGCCCTGCCTCGGTGGGAGGTGGTGGTTTCAGCCGAGGGCCGGCGGTTCACGGCCACCACGAGGTGACAATGACAAAGAAATCACAGCACAAGGGCTGCAGAGCTTGGAGAAGTGACACAGCCTGCAGCAAAAAAAAAAAAAAAAAAATTCCTGGGTGCCACCACGTGCCGGGGCTGCAAAGCCAATTAACGGCGCTTGCCTGTAATTGCAATCAGTGGGAAGAGCGAAAAGCCAGGCCTGGAGCTGGGCCTAGCGTCACTCCCAGTGCACAGGAAAGGCTTTAACGAGGCGTGAAAACGCGAGCTGCGAGCAGAGCTCGCTCTCCTGCCTCACCTCCAGGCTGCCCTTTAATCCCCCTGCGAGCTCTGCGATGCTCTGTGATCCCATCCCGGCTTGTTCTCTGCACTGATAGGTTTAATCCTGGCGAGAGGATTGATGCCCGAGGGAGGGGAGGAGTGGAGGGGCTGGTTTTGTGCCCCAGGCTGCTGCAGATAAGATGTGATGGACACCAGTGGCTTTCCTGACACCCTGCAGGCTCGCTGCCCTCTGCACTGCACGCACACCACAGCACTGATTGATTGATTAATCCCTGGCTTTGCAGGGGCAGGACAGAGCATTTGCACAGAGCCCTGCTGGCAGCCCCAATCCTCCAGGATAACCGTGGATTAAGCTCCTGCCCAAAGCTGGGAAACACTTGCAGGCTGTCCTGGACACCATGTCCAGTTTGCCTTCCTGCACCACCTGAATTCTCAATTTAGGCCTCGTTGCTGTCCCAAAATGCTGTTTTTTTCATCACTGCCGGGCTATTTGATCCCCCTGTTGACCCACGTTTGGCATGAAGCCGTTTTCACTGCTATTTCTGCTTCCTCACACCCCCGGAGAGCTGAGAACTGCCTGGATTTTTTGGGTTGGAAGTGACTTTTCCCTGATTTCCTTCCCTAACCAGCAAAGCTTGGCTGTGGGAGCAGCATGTCAGGCACATTCCCCTGGCTGCACTGGCTGCAGCAGAGGAGAAGTTGGCAGGAGCTGCAGGGATGGGGGGAGAGGCTCTGCATGGCTCTGCTGTGCTGCTGCAGCTCCTGCAGCATTGGGGGAGTGCTGAGGGGGCTGGGAGTGGCTCTGCAGCCACCCCGGGGCTGCACATTCCTGCTCCCAGCCTCCCATGGAATCCGTGCTGCCACTGGGAGTGATGCTCAAGGGCATGGAGAAGCAGAACAGCGAGGAAAGGCTTGAAAATACAGGGTTAGGTTGTGGATTTGGCAGCTGAAAGACAATTTTATGGGTTTTTGAGTGAAGACCCTGATAGAGTGGAATTTGAGCACACCATTCCTTTCCCCCTCTGCTATGAAAAAAAATCAAAGATCAGTTGGTAGAAGTAAAAATTACAGGCAGGGAAAAAAAAATGTTACAGTGTTGAATTTTAGGGAAGGATGTTTGTAAACCAAATACTTAGTTCTAAATGTCACAGTAAAAAAAAATGTTCTCTCTAAATTTCCCTGGAATCGTGGACCATGTGCTGACTTGTGGATGCTGGGAGTTGAGCTGACCTAAACCTCCTAAAAGTAAAGAATTTTTAAATCCAAAAATTGAGCATTTTGAATGCTGTGAGTGGGGAAGAGAAATTACATTTTACACAAGCATTTCAAAAGCTCCAGTTGTCCATGTATATGTTGGCCTTGTTATATACAGGTACATCCATATTTGTAAACAGAAATATTTCTGTGTTTAATGGGGTTTGTAAGTGCTAAATTATACAGGGTTTGGAGCAGAAAATCCTTTCTTCTTTAGTTAGGTTGGACATCAGGGAGGAATTGTTCCCTCTGAGGATGAGGAGGGTGCCCAGAGAAGCTGTTCCAGGATCCCTGGCACTGTCCCAGGCCTGGTGGGAGGTGGAAAAAGATGGGATGGGATGGATTTAGGTTCACTAATAATGAATAGCAAAAAAACTGCTGCTCCTTGTGCTCCATCCCTGGCACCTCCCACGTTTGGAGCAGCTTTGGGTCTCAGCTCATCCCTTTCCTGCCCCTGTTCCTGTTCCCACCACACTCCCAGCACCCCTGGCTGGGCTGTACTGGGAGCAGACTGGAAAGGGTTGGCTGACCCTGGAAGAGCAGCAGGCCAGGCCAGTTCCCCCACAGGACCCTTCTGTTTGTGACATCAAAGAGCAGCTCTTGGGCTGTGACAGCAGGGATGGATGGATGGGATGGGATGGGATGGGATGGGAGCAGCTGCTTTTCCTGCCCCTCTTTTCCATAATCCTGTTTTTTGTCCTGCTGCTGGACACCTGGAGGGGGTGGAGGTTTGGCAGGGCCCTGCACCGTGTGTGCTCTGCTTTTCTGGGGACATTTTTGTCTCATTTTGGGCTGATTTGTGCTCTGCTTTTCTAGATCCCTTTTTTCTTCTTATCTCTCATTTTAGTTGATTTATGTTCTGCTTTTCTGGAAACCTTTTTCCTCATCTCTCATTTTGGGTTGATTTGTGCTGTGCTTTTCTAGATCCCTTTTTTCTCCCCATCTCTCATTTTGGGCTGATTTGTCTCTGTTGCTTAATTTTCCAGCAAAAAAAAAGGTGGAATGGAGGTGGAGCAGAATCTCCCAGGTGGCTTTTGCAGTGCCTCAACCAATTTTGGACAGATTTCCATGGGATCATCTCTCTTGCTTTCCCAGCCTGACAAGCTCTGGGTATTCCCAGTTTGTCCCAGTCACATCCTGGGCTCCTCCCTGGCACATAAATTCCAGAAAATCGGTCAAGGTGACTTTCCCTGCTGCTCCAGGATTTGTTGGGCAGGTACATCCAGCAGGAATTTATCTGGCACAGCCTTTGCCCATCATTTTTCTTTTTTTTCTTTTTTTTTTTTTTTTTGCAGAGGGCTCAGTGGTTTCCTGGCTGCTTCCAGCTTTGTCCTTGTAGGAAAAGCCCAGAACACATCAAAAAATTCGAGTTTTTCTTGCTTTTCCAGCTCTGTGCTGGTTCAGGGAGCTGAGAGCCAAAGGAAGAGGGGACAGAGGTGTCCTTGGCAATGAGGACATTTGGGTTTTACTCTTTCTTGGGGGAACTTTGGAGAAAGGAGCAAAGTTTTGCTGCTGGGACAGCTGATGAGGTGAGAGCACAGGGACAGGGCAGGTGACACATCCCAGTGACCCTGTGGGGTTTGCTGCCTCTCCTGGCATGAATCACCATTTTCCTGCTAGCAGTGACAAAAAAAGGAGCTCTGATTTCAGCCCTCAAAGCCCATTTAAAGTCACAGAGTTGATCCACGTGGTCCACCAAAAAAAAAAACCAGGCAACTATTTTAATTTGGTGAAAGCAGAAATGGGCTGAAAAATGTCACCCTGTGAGATTATTTCTATTTCCTTCTGTTCCCTTTTATATTTATAGTGTTCTAATATTCAGAAACGTGTCCCAAAATCCCTTTGAGAGGGTTTTCCCCCCCTCTATCTCTGAAATAAATGCTGATTTAAGAGCATTAAAGAATTAATTCAGGTGTTGAGTTGGAGCTGTGGGGGTTTCACTCCAGGAGCCATAAAAGCATCAGAGGGGAGCCAGAGTTTGGTTTTTTTTTTCCTTCAAGGGCCAAAGAACAGAGACTGGAGCAGGGTGAGCAGAGAAAAAACCCATTCCTAAGAGATTTGCTGGCTGGCAGAGGCTGGGGGTTTTCAGAGCTGGGTGTGGGGTGTTGGGAACAGACCCCACCCCAGGTTTCTTTCCTTGAGCTGGTAAATCTGTGGCCTCTGTGTCACCCCTGGGTGGTGGCCCCAGGTCCCAAGGCTGTGCAGCAGCTGTGGGAATGTGGCACCTTCTGGCTCCCAGTAAAGCTTTGAGGGTTCCTTTTGGAACCCCACTGGGGCACGAGGAGGTGACAAGGACAGGGCAACCAGGAACATCATTGTCCCCTGATGTCACTGAGACAGGAGGGGTGGGTTCCTTTTGGGGTGCACTGGCACAGGAGGAGGTGACAAGGACAAGGCAGCCAGCAAGGACACTGTCCCCTGATGTCCCTGGAGCAGGAGCAGTAGGTTCCTTTTGGTTTTGATGTCCCTGGGACAGGAGGAGGTGACAATGACAGCCAGGGGAGCGGGGCAGCCAGCAAGGACACTGTCCCGTGATGTCACTGGGACAGCAGGAGTGGGTTCCTTTTGGGGTGCCTGTGGCCACTGGGGCACGAGGAGGTGACAAGGACAGAGCAACCAGCAAGGACATTGTCCCTTAATGTCACTGGGACAGGAGGGGCCAGCCTGGCACACCCTGAGCATTTCTCTCCACGGGGCAGGATTTGGTTGTTGCTGAATGATTTGGTTGCAGGATGATTTGGTTGTTGCAGGATGATTTGTTTATTGCTGGGTGATTTGGTTGCAGGATGATTTAGTTGTTACAGGATGATTTGTTTATAGCTGGGTGATTTGGTTGTTGCAGGATGATTTGGTTGGTGCTGGCTTTGTTGGCTGTTGCAGGGTTATTTGGTTGTTGCAGGGTTATTTGTTTATTGCTGGGTTATTTGTTTGGTGCTGCCTTTGTTGGCTGCTGCAGGGCAGGATCCCTTCCAGGAGGGGTTTGCCTGGCTGGCATTGAACCCTGTGACCCCAAAGGATTCTCAGTTTCACAGCATTGAATCACCCCCAGTCCTGCCAGCTGCTGTCTGCTCTGATGAGTTCCCAGCTGTTTGTTCTCCCCCCTCCCCGTTCCTCATTCCCATTTTCCTCCCTCATCCCCAATCCCTGTCCCAAAGGGGTCCTGTGGCACCGGGCTGGCCCCATAACAGGTGACAGGCAGGCCAGGAAGGACAGATGGGACACAGGAAGAAAGAGGAGCTCTTCTCTCGTCCAAAAACAACACAAAGGATCTCCTGCTGGAAGAGATGGAGAGCTGCTCGTGTTGATGGCCTGATCCCAGTGTCACCGCTGTCCCTGCGTGTCACCACACCCGGGGGTGGCTCTCAGTGGGAAGGAGGAGCAGGACCCAGCCCTTTTCCCTCGTCTCTTCCTTCCTGGCGAGACAGACACCACTGCTGGAAGTGCTCCAAGGTCATGGGGCAGGAGTTTGCATTTCCTCAGCAGCTCAGGGTCTGTGAGCTTGGGTTAGCTCTGGTATTTTTCCCAGCAGTTTCTCGAGAGCCAGGTGTGTTTGTTTCGATTCCTTGCAGAAGAATGCAGGCTGAAATTCCAGCTGCTCCTTTGCACAGGGGTCAAACTTTAACCACGTGTGTGCAGGAGGATTTGGTGGCTCTGCTGGGGCTGATAAAAAAGGGAGGTTATCATCTCGTTTAGGGGATGGATGGTGGTGCTGGACCCTCCCTGGGGATTCCAGAGCTGCTGTGGGATGTGGGAGTCCTGTTTTGGGGAGCCTGAGACGTGGCCATTCCCATGCCAGTGCTGCCCTGGAATGCAGAGGAGCACAGGGGCAGGGAAAGAAGGATCAGGAATTGCAGAGCAGTCTGACCTGGCAGGGAGATGGAGCTGACAGTGCAGCTCTCGTGATGGCAGTGTGGCTGAACAGAGCCACCCATTCCTGCTCCTTCTGTCCTTCTAACCTTATTTAATTGGGTGAGACTCCACACTGGGTTTTATTTCCTCTGCCTGAAGCTTCTGGCACTCCTGCCTCGTTTCCTGCCCCACCAGGGAGTTCCCTCTGAGGATGTGACACCTTCAGGTGATGCTCCTGTGCCTCCCAGGGGGGTTTGGTGACCAGGGTGGGCTGTGGCTGTGGCCAGTCCTCAGGCAGGAGCTGTGACCAGTAAATCACGTGGTGACACTGGCCTGGAAAGGCCTGGGCCAGCCCCTGGGCTTTCCTTTGGAGGCACAGCAAGAAGGGGAGTCCCAGGCTGGGCTTTTGTGCTGCTCTCAAAATCACTGAGTGCAAATCAGCTTGGTCACAAGTTCCCTTCTGGCCAAATGTCCTGGGAAATCTCATGGTGGGGGCACGAGGCTCCTCCAGCCCTTTCCCGAGTGGTTTGCAAAGCCCTGGGGGTGGCTCTGAGCACGTCTGGGCCCCTTTGGTGGCACTCCTGCCGTGCTGTCCTCCGGCAGAACCCAGGGGGGGTCTTGTGCCAACTCATCAGAGCCCCCAGACTCCATCCAGCTTGAAGAGATGAACCAGGAGAGCTGGGAACCCCCAAACTCTGCAGGGCTGTGGCCTTGGGGACGGCTGGTTGAGGTTTTTTGGTTGCTGCCTGCCAGGAACATGAGGTGGAGGGGTAAATTTGGGCGTGGAGAGCAGAAAATGCAGCAGCTGATGAAGGATCTGCTCTGCTCTCTTCCCTCCACACTCTGTCAGCTGGGGAATGAAGGGGCTGTCAGCACCAAGAGGAGCTGTGAGGGGAATTGCACTGATTCCCACTCCAAGCCCAGCCTCAGCAGCCAGCTCCTTCCCAAAAAGAGGAATGGCAGCTCTGATCTTCCAAAAGTTCTGTCCCAACCTCCCAGGCCATCAGGTTTAGCACAGGATTTTTCCAGCTCTGAGCCAAAACGTGCAGCATTGCCAATCTTACCTGGGCAAGGGATCATGGAAAAGGGGGATGAGGAGCACAAACATCTTTTGTCCAGCTCTGGCAGTGGCTGGGTGTGTCACCCCTGCTTTGTGGCACGGCAAAGGTCCTACCTGGCTTAGCCAGGGGCTAAGATTTCTCATTTTTTGGTTCTTCCAAGGGTCACATTCCTGGCCGGGGCCGAGGGAAGGTGACAGATCTGTTTTTGGGCATGAAGTCATCACGATGCTGCTCGGGTGCCAAGTGCAATCCGAGCTCTCCGGGTTGCCTGGGCCACAAAACATTCAGTTTGTGATGAATAAAAACTGTTCTTCTTGGGGAAAAAAAATCTGTGCTTCTGACAAGATTCCTGGGGGAGGCTGCCTCCTGATCCGTGCTGGAAGCGAGGCGCATGATCTGGGAGAAAGCTGCTCACGAGTTGTGCTGGGGAAGTTCTGATCCCGCAGTGGAGCAGATGGAAAATTCTGCAGGAAAGGGCTGAGCTGCTGCCTAAAATCCAATTCCATGTGGTCCCGAGTTAACAAACTGAACCTCGGAGCTCCTTCCTCACTTTGGGAAGCGTGTTCTTCATTCCAACACCTCCTGCAAACCTGGGAATGAGCTGTGCTGCTCTGAAGGGTTGGGTTTTCCTGGGCCCCGTGTTCCCACATCCTGCCCATCTCCTGGAATCGCTTTCCCAGGCAATGAGCTCGTGGTTCTGGCAGTCAGGCTCCCCCCTGGCTGCTCTCATGGGTTTTAGGGAGGAATCCTTCCCTGTGAAATGCTCCAGGATGGGCTTGGAGGTGTTGGACCCCGAGCCAGTCTGGGATCCTCCAAACACTCCTAAAATCATGAGGGAGCTCGAGGCTGGATTTCACTGCGAGTGGAACAAAAATCCCCAACCTCAGAGCCCCCAGCTGCTGGGTAGGGGTGAAAGAAGAAAACTCCTTGTTTTCAGGAGTGCTTTTTGGGAAGAAAACTCCATTTTTCCCTGATAACGGGGTCTGGCAGCTCGGCGAGCAAACATGGACCTGCAGCTGCCCCCGGGGCAGGTCGGGGTGAGCTCGGAGCGCTTCAGGGCTGGGAATCACCGAGCGTGTGTCTTCCCCCTCTAATTACCCCCTGTAATTACCCTCTGTAATTACCCCGGCAGCTGCACGGCCGAAGAGGAAGATGAACCCCCCGACACACCAAGAAGCGCCGGGAAATCCCTGCGGTTCCTGCAAATTCACCATTAGCCGGCTCATTAATTTATTTTTTTGCTTCCTTCAGCGTGCCCCCCTTGCCCTGGCCCCGCTCGTCCCTGCAGGAGCGGAGCTTCAATCGCGACTTTAAAGGGCGCAGCTGCGAATCGTTCCCGGTGGGCTTCTCCCATTCCGGTCACGTCCCAGCTCGCTCTCCGTGCCCGGAATGCCCCGCTCCTCTCATTAACACAAAGGCTCCCGGCCCTGCCCGGGGCCACCTTCGGGACGAGGAGGTGACAATTTTGGGACAAGGGCTGTGCCACGCGCGGGGTGTCCTTTGGCGGAGCGGCCGCATCATCGAGGTTCGGGGTGGTCGGGCAGGGCTCGCCTTCCTCCCACATCCGCTCGGGGATGTCACGTCCCTTTCGGGACAGGGGTTGTGACAAGTGGGTGGCCTTCGGAGTGGCCTTTCCGCAGCTGCTTCTGGATCCAGCTGTTCCGCTCCCGCCACCGGCTGCATTCCGCTGTCACACCGCCCCCCTCTTTGCCCCTATTTTCAGCCCTATTTCCGTTCTCTTTTTCCCATTTCACTCTTCCCAACCTTTATTTCCCCTCGTCAGCCCCCATGGGAAGTTCTTTACAAACCTCGGGTGACAAAACCGCCGACCCTCGCACCTTCCTCTCACCGAGGGGAAGGGAAAAAAAAAAAACCAAAAAAAGACCCCAAAATCCCCCATAAAAGCCGCACGGACGGAGAGCCGGAGCTCAGGTGTTAACCCCGAGCGGCTGCAGTGTTCTACTCCTCTCCAGTGGTGATGAGCCAGGGCCCGCCCTCCTCCGCGTATTGGTTGCTTCCGCTCTGCCTTTTTGTACGCGGGGAAGATGCAGCTGTCAGTCCGCTCGGCTCCTCATCCCGGCTCGCTCCCGGACTAGCAATGGGCAGGAGGAGCTTGCCCCTTGCCCTCCTGCTGGCCCTGTGGCTCGGCCAGCTGGGTGCATGGGCAGAGAGGCGCCCCAAGGTGAACCCCAGGATCATCGCGGCTCCCCAAGGTGAGTCCCGGGCTGCGCCCTCGGGATGCGGCTGCTCCCCGCGCCGGCTCCTTCCTACCTGGGTCTCGTCCTTTGAGCAGAGTCGGGTTATTTTTATTTCTTTTGTGTCCTCCGGGAGGCTTTTGGCTCTCCTTAAACGCCTGCTGGCTTTTAATTGGATTTCTAGACCGTTCTTTCTTTTTAATGTTTTAAAAGCATTTTCCTACGAGATGGGGGACATTAAAGGCTGTCGAAAAGCTTTTTTTTCCCCCCCTCTCAGCTGGGTGTATCAAAGCTGTCAAAAAGCTCTGAGGCCGCCACAGGACACATTTCCTAACTCGCAGCTCTCCAGAAAAGAGAAGTATATTTACATAGTTAATGCGTAGTTTAACTCGCCCTGCTCGCTGCAGATGAATTTGGAGAGTAAACATTTGCCGAGGACCTCTGGTGCCGGGGAAAAAATATACAAACGACACGTAAGGACTTTGTAACCGCAGTGGATGTCGGCAAAGCCGAACAAAGAAATGTTTTCAAGGCTCCGAGCCTGTTGTGTCGGCGCTGGTTTTATCCCGAGTTTTGGGCTGAATCCCCTCCAGGCTGGTTGGAACAAAGACCCCGTTGGTTTTGCCGGGCGGGCTCTGCAGCACAAGGGCTCCTCTGTGCTCCCCGTTCCCTGGAACTTCCGAGCACGCCCATTCCCATCGTTTTGTTCCTGTGCCATCTGTTATCCCCCGCTGGCATTCGCGGTGCCCTTCCCCGGGCTGGCAGAGCTGGTGGCAGTGTGCGCGGCTCGGGGGTGGCCTCTGCTGTCACCTTGTCACACACAAAGGGGAGAGAGAGGCACGGGCACGCCGGGCAGGGGGGGCTGCTCCGCTATGGCGTCACCGGTGCTGGCTGCGGGAAAAGGGAGCGGGACGGGAGCTGCTGCTCCAGGGAGATCCCCCCCGCTCCCGACAGCGGTGGGGGTTGGAAATTGAGGGGGGAAAAAGGGATGGAGTGGCCGATGGCCACCTGTGTGTCCCTGTGCGATGCTGTCGCTTGTCCCTCAGTCTGTCACCGAAACCTATTAGGACACTTCACCTGCTCGGCTTGTCTGTGCTGTCATTATTCCGGCAGGGCGCGGGGTAGCGAGCCGTGCCTTATTTGTCAGCTCCTTGATGTCACCTCTACCCTCCCAGAGTTGGGCTGTGGATGAAAGGAGGAAGAAGAGGAGGAGGAGGGTGAAGAAACAGCCCAAGGGCCGCTGCTGTGGCCGAGGAGCCCCGCTGAACTTCCCCATGGCCCGGGCTCTCTGAAAGCTCAGCATGTTCAGCTCTCAGCACGTGGCTGCTGCAGCTGCAGCCCCGCTCCCAGCTTGTCCCTTGTCCCTGTCCGTGTGGCAGGGATGCAGCCGCAGGGCTGATTTTCAGCTCTGTCCCTCGTTGCTGGGGGTGGAGAGCAGCGTTCCGGGCCGGCTGCTGCGTTTGCAGTGCTGCAGGGCTGGCCCAGGGCTCTGCGGGAGCTGGCAGCTCTCCCCTAATTCAATTTCTTACCCCGCGCCAGCAGCAGGTGATGCGGCTCGGCAAAGGCACCTCCAAGTGCTCCAGCCTTGAGGAGGGCCAGGGTGTGGATTTTTGGGGCTGGGCACAGCCCGATCCCTCCCTCCTTCCCTGCCTGCAGCGCAGGAAATTGGGCAAAGCTGCGGTTGCTTTTCCATCCCTTAGCCTCGCTCCCCTCTCCAGCACCGTGCCCGGCCAGTCTGTGATACCAAAAGTCTCAATTCCACTGGTTTGCGGTGGATTTGGTGACACCTGGAGCTTCCCTGGCTCCACCAAACCCTGCCCTCCCTGCAGGTCCCTGAGCCTTTTTGCCCCTCAGTTCCCAGCAAGAAATAGGTGAGGGGACGTGAAGAACTGGGTCAAAATGTAGCGAGGCCGAGGTGGCTCCACACCTGCAGACAAAGGAACGCCACGGGGCTGTCCTGGTGCTCGGAGCTCCTGGATTTACAATCGCCACCACTTTGGAGCCGTGCGTTCTGCAGCCCTCATAGGTGGGCACTCCTGGGCGTGCAGGATTCCTCCGTGTCTCTCAGCCCGGAGCAAAGCTCGGCTCCACATCGCTGCTGGCAGCGCCTCGAGTCATTTTTTGTCTCCCGGTCACTGCCCTTCCCCAGGAACGCCGAGTTCCTCCCAGCTGAGGCTCTCGGGGCAGTGCTCCCATCCATCATCCCTTCCCTCCTCATCCTCCCCTAGATTTTTTTTTTTTGTCCCCTGCCCGGGAAGCCGGGCTGTACTTTGGCAAGGGTGCGGCCGCCTCTCACACTTTCACTGCCACATCCCGCGTATCCCGGGGGTGGCAGCGGAGGGGACACCCAGCCCGGGCTGTCTCCTGACCGGAAAGTCACCGAGCATCGCAAAACGCTGAGCGTGGCACGGAGCCCGCGGCCTTTGCAGCGCAGCCTGGGCTGGAGCTGCTGCCACACTCAGGAATTCGTCCCTGCTCAGCCACACGTGCACAAATCCGAGGAGAACTCGGATGTTCTCCTCGGCACCGCGGGGCGGGATGGGCTCTGGCTGTTTAATTACTCCCAGCTCATTAACAGGTGAGCTGGAAAGCCGCAGGGAGCAGGTTCTGAGATAAGCGGGTTCCCCAGGGAATAGCAGGATTATCCACTTGACCCTTGGCTGCCTCTCGGCGGGGTGAGCTGGTTCCAGCCCGCCCCGGGGTACAGCGAGCTTTTGGAATGGCACTTCTGGGAATCGGCCTGGGCTGCCTGGAACAGCTCCTGGCTTTTGCTATGCTTGGCTGCCTGCTTGCCTGGGAGAGCTGTGTCAGCAAGGCTGGCCCGGAGCTCTCCGTGCCCTGGCACACTGGGGCTGGGTGTCCCCAGAACCTTCCGGAAACAGCAGCACAAGGGCTTGGGGCAAGGGACGGAGGGACAGGACACGGGGAATGGTTTCCCACTGTTAGTGGGCAGGGATGGAGGGGGTACTGGGATGGAATTCCTGCTCGCGATGGAATTCCCAGAGAAGCTGTGGCTGCCCCTGCATCCCTGGAAATGCCCAAGGCCAAGCTGGACAGAGCTTGGAGCTACCTGGAGCAGTGGAATGTGTCCCTGCCCATGAGGATGAGATGATCCTCAGGGTCCTCATCCCTTCCTGTTATGGCAAACGAGGGATTTCTGGTGCCAGCAGCAGCTTTTCCCCTCAGTGACAGCATCTCTGGTTTTTTTTTTTGTGGTCCCATGGTGTGAAACATCTTGGTAGGACACTTTCCCACGAAGCTCTCTCGGAGCATCACCATTTCCAGGAGAAAGCTGCTCGCTTTCCCAGCAGTGCTATTTTCTCCTTTTTCACAGGGTTGGGCGATGCTGGGAGCTGAAAATGTTAGTTGGGAAAGAAAAAAAAAAAAAAAAAGGAAAAAAAAGAGAAAAGAAATATGTTTTGCTGTGCGCAGATTGAAAAAGAAGAAAAGCAAACCAAACAAATGGAGTGAATCACAGGCACCTCCTGTTGTAAGAGCACGACACAAAATCAACAACAGGGCATGACTGGTGGAAGTTGTGGCTGGAAAAGGGAGCAGGATGCCAATTCCTGACCAAGCTCCCAGCTCTGCACCAGCCAATTTGGGGACGGAACTGCTGAAAACGGGCCTGGGAAGGTGTTCTGTGGGTGATGCAGTGCCTTAAATGGGACAAACTAAATTTAAACCCGAGTGCTTGAGCACAAACTAAAATCTAAGCTTGAGCAAGAAATAAATTTAAGTACAAGGTGCTTTTTAGGGCAAATCTCGCATCCATAAAAAGGGTTGGGAGGTGAGTGAGGAAGGGAAATGGGTTCCAGCCACCTCCAGCCTGTGGCTATTCCGGGCTGCTCCAAAAATAGGGCTGCTGCTTCCTCCTGCTGCTGGGCACCCTCTTCCTGGCAGCCCCAGCTCTGTGGAAGCAGCTGCCGAAATTTAGATGTGGGGACAGGTTTGGGTGCTAAATCCCGCCCTTAGCGACAGCTCTGCTGCTGTCACTGTCCCCTCCTGGGCAGAACTGATTCCACAGCTCGTTATCTGCTAGGGTCAGGTATTCCTCTCGGGAAATGTGGGAAGAACCAGGCACCGCCAGTTTCGGTAGTTGTGGGAATTTCCATGAGGAGTTCACGCCCAGTCCCAGCCAGGCACCTGCAGTCAGGCTGTTCTGTTGCAGTTTTGGGAGGTCAAATTCCTGCCCCCGGCGCTTTCCAAGGCTGGGAATGCGACTCCCGAATCCCGTGTCTGGCTGCTGGGAGGTCCGCGGGCACACTGGGGGTGCTGGGGAGGGCTCCGTGGCATTCCCTGGCACAAACCTGGGGTGTCCCGGGGCTGGCACCCACCTGGAGCTCACGGCAGGTGTGGCAGCAGCAGCAGGAGGAGAGTGGGAGGGCAGGGCGGGGCCATCCCTGATCCCACTGGGAAGGGCACAGTGGGACTATTCCCAATCCCATTGGGAAGGGCACGATGGGGCCATTCCTGATCCCACTCAGATCCTTCCTGATCCTGCCACGAAGGGCACAGTGAGGCCATTCCCAATCCCTCTGGAAGGGGCACATCAGGATCCTTCCCAATCCCTCTGGGATCCTTCCTAACCCCTCTGGGATCCTTCCTAACCCCTCTGGGATCCTTCCTGATCCCACTGGGAAGGGCACAGTGAGACCATCCCTGATCCCACTGGGATCCTTCCTGATCCCACTGGGAATAGCACAACAGGATCCTTCCCAATCCCTCTGGGAAGAGCACAGCAGGGGCATTCCTAATCCCACTCAGATCCTTCTTGATCCCTCTGGGATCCTTCCCGATCCTTCCCTGCCAGGAAGGGCCTGTGCTGCACACACCTCACCTTTATCCACAGGGATAAAACCTCTGGATCCTCCCACTTGGAACCTCCCTGGAGTGGCCGTGCCCTGGGCAGTGAGACCCTGCCCGGGAAGGATTTTCCAGCTGTGGGCAGCTGGGATAGGGGAGTGCATGGAGCGGGGTTGTTGTGCTGGAGCTGCTCGGGGCAGTTTTTACCCCCT